TGGCTAGGTTATATCTAGCTCTCCGCGTACGTGTGCACACGATTTGGAACAAATGCCAGTAATTCGGTATCCAGGCCAGTTCGTTCCTTTTCCAGCTCGAGAATAAGTGAATATCTCTTCCGATAGGCATGCCACATGCATGGATAGCAATCGATGTTGTATAGCTTACGCGTTTCGATTATGCTCGCGTACCGCCACAGCTATTTAAGGTTCGCCCGGCTGGCTATAGATAGAATCCTCGGTCAGCTCGATTCCGTGTCCAAACTCCTCTCGCCATCCCTCTCTCTCTCTTTGTCTTTTCAATGATGTTCATCTACGAACGAAAGCAGCGGATGATTGTATGTGATTGAAAATTGTATGTTTCTGCATAAATATAACATGATTGCAAGTGTTTACGATTGAAAATCTACGTGCGCATACGCGCATGTGAACGTAAATAATAACATCGTGTATACACACGCGGATGAATGAGATGATTATTGAAAATAATCATACGATAAGATGAGATACGCTGTGATGTTTGAAATTAATCCTTAAAGTTTATATCGCAAACGAAATTTGTGTCGAACCTTTCTTTCGTTTTTCTTCAATTAAATCTCTCTTTTCTCACTTTTGCTGAAGGAGAATAAAATCAAACGACACATGAGCGATCCATGTATGCATGGACATGGACAAATGTATGTATGTGTATGTGTATTGTAGGATAATTTGAGGGATGAAGAAGGGGATGATAGCGAACGAACGACCGCGATCCTAACCTACAAGTTTGAACTCGATGGAAGGGATGAATAGGCACGACGCTATTAAGTGGGCATCGAGTTATTGTATCGCGCTAATGGGAGCAGCAATATCGATAATCGGTTCGTGAAAAGTCGCGATAACGCCTCGACCAATCGGGACGCAGATAACAGGAGGTTCTGTGTCGAGGATTCTTCAAAAGATGACGCGGGGTGATTTTTCGATAGGCTGCTGAGCATATATGCAGAAAAAAGAGAACAACCGTGGAAAAAGAGAATAATTATCAATTGAAGGAAAATAAAATTTTATCAAACAATTTTCTAAAGTAAAAGATTTAATTATAAACATATCAAATTGCCTACTTGAACTTTTCAAGGCTTACGAGGTCTGTGAAAAATTATCGCGAATATTCAATTTATTATTGAAGGATTTATAGCCAAATTTTGTCGGTATATACATCTATTTTTTTGTGATTCTATCAAACATATAGTAATGACAGTACAGTTTTAAATGATCTATGTTGATATAACGTTATTCGCATATTTCATTATCTCCATATATTATATTAATAAATATATAATATAGTGTAATATATTGACAAAGTTTGACTGTTTCATTCATTGTTGCAAAGCAACAGTAATTAAACTGAAATTGATTATTCAGAAACTCAAAAAATTATTCAGTAGACTTTAAGAATTAATTAATTTTATTACTCTAACAGTATTCCTGTCGTCCTCTGAGGAAATCGTATCTGAATAAGGATGTGTCTTCCTTCAACATTACCCTCCTGAATAAACCATCTATAAATTATCCTGTGATCGAAACACGAACGCTCTAACTCACCGCTGGAAGTCTACCCTGCGTCCGACCAGTGCCTACTTTTTCCACTGTGACATTCTCTTCCAGTGAAACAAGCATGGACTAATCAGATCTCGTTTCCCGACGTTTGCTCAATAATAAGACTGACTCTAAAGCTAACAGTATTCATACTAATGGCACACTACAAACGTAGTCACGCTCAATATGGAACGGATAACGTTAATTTAATGTAAATGCGTAGTCTAATTGGTAAGTGACTTTTCTATCGATAATCAAGCACTTAACACCCGAGATCGTAGCACGACAACTATAAACATTAATGGTAAAAGAGTTGTTGTACGATAGGCAAAAGTTAGCCTGATAATTAAATCCTTGAGACGACAAGTAGCCACAAGAATCATTGCACAAGTCAAGCCATCACAAATTAACAAATATTTCTGCGAAGATCAAGGAAATCTAACACAAGAAACAACTAAAAAGACTACTATGATATATACAAGGATTAACAACACTCGAACAACATTCGTTACTCCCTACAAGAATCACCCCGGAAGCTAACAAAATCAAAATTGTGTGGATCACAAAATCCCAAGAGTTAACAACATCCAATTTGTCAGTTAACCATCTGTGCAAGAACTAATCTCGAAGGGAGGAAATAAAGGAAAGAAGAAGGGGGGGGGGGAAAATGCCGGTTAGAGCGAGAAGAAAACGAGTAACTTTTCGTAACAGCGAGCACGAGTACGAACCGATCGCAGCGCCGTCGCCATCGCCGAAGCCAGCGACCGCACCGGTCGTACGAATCACCGATACGGATGTGGTGCCCGTCGCTGATAGCGACGACAGCATTGACGACCGGACACGGCTACCGCCAGAGCTGACACGGGCGGGCGACGTGATTCTCCCGTTGGATGGCAAAATCGAAGACACCGCGATGGAGGGTCGTGAACTCGTGGAAACCGGCGACACCTCCGAAGAATTGGAGACCCCGCAGCAATTGCAGGAGCGACTTGAGGAACGGTACCTGAACGCTGCTACCCCGGGCACTGAGTCCAGGACCGATGGCGAGGTCAACACTAGTCAAGTGAGTCGTTCTCCAATCATTTCTATATGATCTTTATATAATATTTTATATTAAAATTTTTTATATATACATTCCTTTCTCTTCAAATATTTTTTAGAGTGTGAGGTGAATTATTATTAACTTAGAGGATACATAACACACACATTGAGGATTGTTGGATATTGGAAGGGCAGTATTATTAGAATAACTTCTGAGCTTTGTTCTACCATTCAAATATTCTCGAGTGACATTGGATTAGTCATGACCAACTTTCTAGAAATACCGAACAGTATTTGATTTGTATTATCCACTATTTTTTAGTTAGTGTTGCTAGGTATTTATTGTCAACTTCTCATTTTGAGAATTGATGAGCAGTATTGACTATTAGTATATACATTTATCGAGTCATTATTGTTGAGTTAGTATTATCTAATATTGTTAAATATTATCAAGTTAATACACTCATTTTTCTAATTACTGCTTTCACTTGATAATTACTAATCAATCAGTTTTAACTATTAATTTACTTTTACTAATCATTACTGAAATTATAAATAGTATCTAAGAATACGCCGCGTCAGGTGTAGCTAATTAGTTCCAATGATACTGATGACGCAGTGACAGTAGGTCACTAGAACTGGAAGACTCGAGTAGACACAGTTTCTGAGTATTTCATACCGATGAACAAGGATGAGTCAGCAAAGACGTGGAAATTATTTTGACACGATGAATTCATATTTTTGAAGCTACACCGTTTGATATTAAAAATATCAGCTATCTAAAAGGTTGCCACTCTTTAAATTTACTCATGAAAAGAATTCTCTAAAAAGAATCGCTTCTCTTTTCCAAAACTATTCGATTTATTTGAAATATTTAATATTTTCTATTTAGAAAATATTATATGGCGCAAGAACTTTTGAACTCTATATACATATAATATAACAAGCTTTCATTTTTGTAACAAGAATACTTTCTTCACCTTCTTGCCTTAGGTCAAAGTAGCAAGATTGAAATCAATTTTCTTGGTCAGATTTACCAACTCTATCCAAAATAATAACAAACAATTGTATTAATTACCTTGATTTGAATTCCTTCCCCTTTATTTTTTTTTTCTTTCTCTCTTTAAGAAAGTAATTCGATCGAAAGAAGAATTTTCCAAAACGCACATCGATCGAAAGAAGAATTTTCCAAAACGAGCACCAATCGAAGAATGTCGCGCTGTTCATTCGGTTGTTACACACTAGGCTGCTATATTTAGCGAAAACACGCGTATAAAAAGCATTGGAGCCAACGTGTCACTGTCCGAGAACTATTATGCAAACGTCGCAAACGTTCCAGAAAACTTGGGAAAACAATCTTCTCTCGACGTTTCTTAAAAGCTCGTCCCCTTGTGGATTCCTGAAAAAATAAAAAAAATCTTAAAATAATCGTAAAGTTTTTAAGTGGGTTGCCTCGGTTTCGTTTAGCTATAACTTTGTAGAAAATTTCGC